AGTGAAATGTAGCATAGTACAAGTAAGATCATGTCCATGGTTTCGACGCCATGCCATTAATTACCTCTATTATAGTTTCTGGCTTTTCTTGGGCAACTGCTTTTACCTCGTGTATGGTATCACTTTCATTTTGTCGCAGGCTCAGTTTGACGGTTACACAACTCTATTAAGACTGGTCAAAGGAATTAAATTAGCGTGAACATTATGGAAAGTACGTCTTGGTGTGCAGAAATCTCCCAGTAACCGCATTTATATAATGCAGACTAATATTGATTGAAGTTAAGGTCTGAGCAAGTGGATAGTTTGCCCGATATTAGTTATTTCAAATGACAGGCGTTTTGATAGGTATCATTAGCTCTTTAGTTGACTTCGGAATTCACAGGGAGAAGGAACATCAAAGTAACAGAAAGTCGAGGGGCGGGGAACAGAAGAGTGATTTACAGATTAGAAAGAGTCAGACAGACACAGGCAGAGAAAATGTAGGATGAGTACTGTAGAATTGGTAGAATATGTCATTCAGTGGGGTCATGGTAGTTTGAAGTGAGAAGTCAACTGCCGGTTAATAGACTTTTTTTGCCTTATGAGCATACGTTGCAAGGGGTGCACCACGTGGAGGTAAGTCTATCGCACACCCCGGTTTGCCCAATATAAGCTGTAATAAACTCTATTAGCCTGGAGGTAGCTAAAATATTGTTTCTGTGGAGCAGCCATAAATGGTCTTATTAATCTTAGCTCGTCAGTATCTAAACCATATCATGTGTACAAGCAATTGAAACTGTTTGCGCCCCGGTAGAGATTTATCTTAATGGTAACGAGGAGATGGAAGAAAAACGCGTTATAGAACTTTTGGGCCAGTTGTGACGACAGTCTGTCCTCAATTTTGAGGAAGTCATTATGAATTTTACCTTTCATTTCACCTGGCGGTTCTTAAATCATTTATATTCCTTTATTTAGCACCGCTTTATCGAAAAATGTGAAACTGCTTCATCAGCAGTAAAACCTCAAAGGTAGACATTTTAGGTTCCAGACTTCAAATCTCTGGAAAAGTATTTAAAACGCGGGTTTTATTTCATGTACAATATCGTCCTGATCTATTCTTCTGGTTTTGTGAAATTAAACATACTTGCGAAATATAATGATGAAAAACTTCATTGAAAGTCAAAATTTAATTTAAACTTCAAGTTATGCAGGTACAAAGCATTTCTTGACCTTAACATGTGACACTAAAATCATCTTTAATTACCTACCACGGATTCTGCACACTAAGAATTAGCCTAAGGTGGGCTGAAGCACCCAACAATTTCTTAACAACTACATTATCAACATTAAATAATGGCCTTCATATTACTAGATCGATTGCAATATATTTGGGTCTTAAAAGATACCACGATGGACGCTGTCAGTAATATTATGGTCGCTATGTTACTTGTGCTCATTGATAAATACAATATCTACATCTACACATGTCCAGCCGAGTATAGGGCAAAAATTATTAGGCGATTGATGCTCATTGGTGTGTAGGCAATCGCACTTGTTTGACCCTTCTTAACAAGGGGATAAGCGTGTCTAGGATACCCCCTCCCACCACCAAAGTCAAGTATTGCTAGAACTTACATCTTAATATTTGTTAGGTTATATGTGGAAAAATTTCATGCCTCATTGGATAGCAGCGTGCCAATAACAAGGCTTCATTCCCAAGAATGAGCATAGAGGGCTCGATGCTCTTTTAGCAGTTACTGCTCAATGTTTACGATGCATACCCAGTGAAGTGGGTGCCCCACAACACACTGTGCAATTTTGATCGACAAGAAAACTAATTCGTATGATCTATAAGGCCCTTAAACAAATGGACCTCTCCGGTGGCAGCAAGGTGAAAAACTACTCTTTATAGCAGTGTATTCCAATCACGAATGGCAGATAGTCATGCATAGTTAGCAGTCGCTTATTTCTCCTAGAAAGGAATCCGGGGCTCTGAGGGCACCACCTATTTGTAAATCGTCAATTGGAGACTCTTTTAACCAATATTCAGAGGCTAAGCACTACTGAATTCGATTTATTCGAATGTGTTTTGAAGTACATCACCCTCTTAGAAATTGGGTTAATTTCCTGAAATTTGTAGAAGTAATTCTAGGGTTCGTTCAACTATTTTGAGCAGCTGCCTTACCTCGCAGTGAGTTTCAGGAAAGCAGTGCCAGGTTCTGCGTTGCCGCGTTCCTTATTCCCGTTTGGTTAACTCAGCCTCCGATGACACTTCAAGTTACCTAAAGATTAATCGATAGTCGTGGTGTAGTTGCATGCAACCGTATTCAGTGCATCTACACTCTCTACATTCTCTACTCAAACTTTCGATATTTTCGTTTTTTTATGTCTAAACAGAATTTTCAATAAGATGTCTTATTCCATTTTAGAATTTATCTTCCGAGACTGGCCAATTAATGCTGTAGTTATATGCAGGCATTGCTATGAGCGATTGTAATAATTCAGTATATGTACAAGCTTGTTACAATCATCGCGTTCAGTAATTTGTACATCAGAAATAAGTTTGAAGGGGGGGGGGAGGTTAAGGCACCGAGAATTGTATCTACTGAGAAAAGAGATGATTGAATTGCGAGTTACTGAAGTTTCCAAGTGATTTTCTCCGGATTGTCTCTACTTATCATGATCAGATATTTATCTATTTTATTGTGTGATAGAAATCATTATGAGTTAGGAAAGTGAGAGCCTAGATAGGTATACAATCTGACCTAAAATATTTTAAAAATGCAGAAAAATTCGAAACTCTATTTTACTAACAAAGAGACAAATATCAGAAATTGTCTTTCTGTCTTTCTATTTCCACAGCAAGTAAATTCAATGAAAATATGACACCCTAATTTATGTTAGAACACATACTCTACTTATTTTTAATTAAGTAAAATAAGCGTTTCATGCAAATCTACCAGATCCCTAGAATTTTAGACAATAGCACGTTTTAAAACTAATTACTGCAACCGACTATTGCAAAAGACATTATATACTCACTTTGAGTGTCTGTCACAAGCTTACTAACTTAATCAAAATTAATAAATAATAATAAAACATGATTGGAAAGTTCATTTTTAACTAAGAAGGAAAGTGCATTTTTGGCAAACATTTAGATAAGTAAATATACATATTAGTACACAGCCAAATAAAACAAACAGCTTCATACGAAGAATGGAATGTTGTGAAGTGAAGTTCAGACGCAAAAAACGTGAAAATTATTTCTGAAGTGCCGGTTGAGGCTGTGCTACATTAACCAAGGTTGTAGTAACAGCCGGTTGATGACGTAAAACAAGAATTCGCTTGGATGTCGTCCGTGAAACTGATGCTCGGTTGAAACCCTCTGTAGTTGGCAAAACCAACTGAGCGGACAACACAGGGTTGCTTTGGGTTGGCGTTTTATTAACGTGAATGGGCTGTTCAGTTACTGTAATAAAAGCGGAAGTCAATTTAGCTGACTACCAATCAAAAGGATTCAACCACAATTGATTTGGTATCAGATACATACAAAGTACCTTATATGGGCTCGATTGAGTGCCCCTACCAATTAAATGACTCATAGCTCAAACAGATGTGAAGTACGTGCGTCAGTTCGCATTAATCTACCAATAAGACATTGGCCACGAACCTGATTGGCTACTCAGCTACAAGTAAACTCAGCTTGCTTAGTCAGATGCCAGGATTCGTAAAATTGTATGATTTTAATTGAAATAACACGACCATAAAAAATAACCTCACCAAAAGATGATGCATTTTGTGCTTGGCCTGGTCTCCAAGTTGTTCTGCTAGTGGCAGCTGGTGAAATAACAGCAAATTGTCGGGTTATCGAGTTTGAAGATGAGATCGGGCGAAAAGCGGCTGTGATTGCGGCAGCACTTTGATGCCGCCGTGTGGACGAAGAAAAGTTTCTAGTCTCTTCTTGATATCTTCGTCGACGAAAGGCCTGACTGATGAAACGTTCCTCATAGTGGGGGTCTATCATCCAATAACAGCCTTTGCCTGGCTCATCTGGCAAACGCGGTGTCTAATTAAAGAAGACAAAACAATTTATTATAATTATAATGTCTCAGTAGAAACCATTTAGTGGGCATAACTACATTCAGTGAATTTAGTCATTTAAAGACTCTTATATCAAATAAATAACGTTACAAACTACAATATTGAGTACTACCAATTAAATATCTGTTGCAAAGCAAGGCAGACACTTCAACACCTCACTAAGATGTGACAAAAACAATAGACAGATTGTCAATTCATAAGGGCTTCAGTTCAATCTGGAAAAAGAAAATCCACTTGTTAACAGACAATAGATCGAAGTGCATATCCTACTTAGCTTAGCAGTAGACATGGGAGCACGATCTATTTCGTTGTAATTAAGCAGTTTCGAAACCTAACTATAATTGAAACCGAATGGTAGTAATAATTAACTATTTCTCGGGAAGCATAATAAGCCTCTAATTTGTTAGTCAATTAGCTCCACTATCAACAGGTAAAAAGCATTCGATAAGAATGAAACCAGCTGAAACTTTCACTGAGGTGTCATCATTCAAGGTTATTCGGATGATATTAATGATAAAGGGGAATAAATTGTAACCCAACCACCAAAGGTCTCATTACTACCGTTAGAGGTATATTCACGTTTTGCCTTTCTCAAAGCATAGTAACAGTGATTTAAGTCATTATTGCTATATGCACGTTCAAAGATAATTTTTTAATCAAAGGGCCTCAATAACAACTCATAGGTGAGTAAAGACAAATTTAGCATGCAACCTCTCTGTTCAACATTCAAAGCTGCTTAAAGAAACAAGGAGAAATATTTCCATTGATACAACCTTCAGAACCAAAACATTGTCATCTTTAGGTCTAAAAAATTAGGCAAATGCAGAAAGGCTCTTTCTCCCTAATGTCCATTCTGCTATCATCATGATCTTCAAATAAGAGGATTCATTAAATCCTAAAAAAAGTTGACCTTGAGTTATTTTTGTCAACTAAGCCAGAAACCCTCTTCCAATTTAGCCATTATAAAAATCTCGTTAGGTTGCAACAACTAACGACTCTGTAATTCTACTAGAAGCGGTAACAACCTCTCATCCTTTCACCTTGGCCGAAGTGGGCGTATGAAATTTGGCATGGAGCTCTAGACAAGTCAAAAGTGGAAATGCTTTAAAACACTTCAAAGGAATTCAAACCTCCTCCTCCATTGAAAAGAGTAATTGAAGAAGAATAAGGACTCTTGTTTACGTCTATATACTTGCAAAAATTAACATTATAATAAAATCACTATCCCTCGACGTTATGCGAAAAACGGAATTCTATTAAAATTCACTAAATCAACGCACCATAAAAGTCTCGGGCATTTCAAATGTCAAGAATTTTCAGATCTGTCAACACATAAATAAATTTGGAGAGGTTATCAAAGTAATGAATCGTAAATCTGTTCACGTATGGTCAATAAGCACTAAATAAGTCGATTATCACTAGTTTACATCACATATTGAAGGTGCAAATCTGAATATAGCCAGAGTAAAATGGATTTTAAATGCCTAATATGGGCACTACGCCATAAATAGTAAAGTCTACCACCAGCTTAAAGACTTCATCGTGCTAATTTGACCACATTTTGACAATTATTCCTTCCTATACGACCACATTATCGGTAAACAAAGAACAAGTTTCATAATTCATTTGCGCAAAAAATCCCAAGATTTCAATGATTAATTCTTACCTTACAAAAATGCTTGTTTAAGGAGAGATTGTGTCTGACAGAATTCTGCCAGCCTTTATCCTCCAAGCGATAATATGGGTAATTTTGACTGATGAATTGATAAATCCCCGATAAAGTCAACCTACGAGTTGGTTGACTGGCCAGAGCTTGAACAATAAGTTGGGCAAATGAGAAGGGTGGTTTCATAGTTGTAATCACTGGGTAGTTAGTAGTAGTGTTAGGTAGAAAGTTCCAAAATAACTGTGGCTGGTCAGAAGAATTGATTACCTGTAGAGACTGAATCAATGTTTGATTCTGTTGAAAACCCGATGCATCTGCTATCTGAGTGGAACTGTAAAGGTAAAATTTAAAAACGTTTTAAATACCTTGTCGAATGCGTGTTTAATGATTTATCTACGATCAATGGCTTGTTAACAGTTATTGAAGTCAGAAGCTGTTTACGACGATTTTTTGAGGCCGATGGAATAATCCGATTCAAAAACGTCGAATCACTGTCTTCTACGTCAGATATGTGTTGTGGGCTTTCAACTATATTGTCATCGTGGGGGCTAAAATCTGTTATTTTTTCCTCATTGTCAAGACGTAACTTGGGCTGACAATGAACCGACAATTGAATAGTTGTACTGGGAAAACGAATTGTACATCTGAAAAAAGCAAACATAATCAACTCTACTATCCAAAAAACATAAAATATAATGGGATCAAAACCGGAAGTAAGACTAAGGAATAGTAGTCCAAGATAAATTAAAGACAACATCCTAAATAGACATTTAAATATTAATTAAAGTAAAATGGAAGCGATGTCTCGATTTAGTTAAGAAAATGAGAAGAAAAGTAAATAAATAAATAAGTATATCAGACGAAGAAAGATAAATAAAAACATACCTCCTTGGTAATCTATACAGTATGTTTCCAGATTTTCGAAAGGTTTCATTGATATATATCCCATTTTTGCCAATACATTTGAGAAATAGACAACTAGCGAACCATGTGAGTTCAATATGCCTGCGAGATATCAGGGTGGATTCAAGAACGATATCAGCAGTTTGGCCACTGCCACATCTTCCAATCAATATTTTAACCTTCCTCATAGAATACTTTTTAAATCCATGATACAAAAAAGCATATGGAGGACGAATTTTTTTCCCCATTTTAATATACACAAAAATCGAGGTCCATTAAAAATTTCACCGCTTTGGTCAGCGATTAAAACGATTTGAGGTCAACGATTATCAAAATTTTGATTCCATTAGCTTTGCTTTATATAATTCTAAAGCAATATTAAACAGTCATAATTTGTAGTACTCTACAAATTGATCAGATTAAAATGTGAAAATTAGGCCACCATTTAAGTTCTATAAGGTTTTACAAAGAGAACAATTACATTCGCCATTAGATTAAGAATAATAAATTCCAAAATGATTAAACGTAAAAATCAGGCTCCAAAAAGTAGTCACAGTGTTTTCGAAATTTCTTAATCAATATATAGATTTAAGAAGTTCAAAAATAGAATATTAAAACTTAATTTTATTGCCAAACATGCGTTTATGGTTGATTTTATTGGACACGGTGCTTGAACTTAATAATTTCATACATAAATAGTTTTAAAATTAAGACAACGAATTATTTAGTTTGTCCGTATAAGAGGAAGGCGGTCATTTTAACGTTCAGAGGTCGTTCTTTTCGCTTGTTTTAGCTTTGCATGTATGAACAAATTTCACATAATGGAAAGATTAATAGTAGCTTCATGAATTCTCACAAGCATAAAAAACGGCGAAGGACCGAAGGTCTACCTGCTAATTTTGAGCAGCCGTGTATTGATGACTGGAAGGTATTGATTATTTTATTTTAAAATAAAATTTTTAGTTAAATATGGGTGCTTCTCTAGCTGATCGATTAGAAGCCATTGCAACGGAGAAAAAGCTCTCTAATGTTCAAGTTAAACGGCTTCTAAAGCAAGTTTTGACAAATCCTGTTGTTGTTAAGGCTTTTAAGCAATATATGAGCGGTGAGCTGACTCTTCTTGAACCCGAAACCGGTTCGGCTTCAACATCAACACGAAAACGAGCAAGGGTTCTTGGTTTTGATCTCCCTGCATTTGGTCCAAATTCAAATTTTATGGATACATGGTGCAAGAGAAGAGTTACAAGATCTCTCACGAATAAGCTCAAAACTGAGGTCGCGAAGAAACGTCAGCAGGAATCGAAATCAAAACCTGGAGATTCCGCAAAAAATATTATTGCCATGGACTTCACGGATGAAGTTGATGACGAGGAGGATGTACTAAATAATGTTCGATCGCAGTCAATGCCTTCCGATACTACATCTACTGAGGAAACTGCCAATGAATTTGTGTCCTTTACTTCAACTAGTCCTCGACAGCGAGATGAAGACTATCAGCCAACTGATGAGGATATCACTGTCATTCGTCGGGATATTCTCTATGACCTTGAAGGCGTGGAAACAAAATCAAGTTCTACGGAGGATGATGATGATTCCCTAAACGAGAGTTTTGTTACAGTAGCATCAGGTGATAGCCCTCAAAGAGATTACTACTTACGTTCAAGGAAGTCGGACGAGAGATGCTTAGCTGGTCTAACGCCCAACATCCTCCATATGTTAGATGAAGATGATCCCGTGGCAGAAACTACGACAGAGAGGGACGCTCAACACTTTGCCGACTCCTTTGCTAATGCTACAGCTGCGGTAAATAATTTGACGAACGAAACAGATGATCCTGATGAGGAAATGTATGCCTTGTTTATAAAATCAATCTGTTCAAAATCTCAACAGTCAGGTGACGACACTTCATCTACTCCTCGTGCTGATGTAAGCCTTGTATTTTAAAATATTCCCACATTATCGTTCTTTGAGTACTATGATTTTGGATTGTTTATTTTCCATCGTAATATAAATAATTTCTTTAAATTCATAAAAATCAAATCCTATTTGTTCATTGTTGGCCAAGAATAGTTTTTTTGTAGAATTTTGCCGTCACTTCAACTTCGGATAAATCATCATATGAAATGACTGATCCTGAGGACGTGATATATGCGAAGTTCATAAAATCAATCCGCCAGCCAACGGCAGTCACCAATGTATCTACTCCTCAAATCCACGAGGTAATTTTTGAATGCTTCGCTAGTTTGGTTTGCTATGGTTAGTTTTATTCTGTGTGATTATACAGTGAAAAGTGAGGGAATGTGCTCGTGATTTTTTCCCCCTATGGCTAAGTAATAGGATAGTTATTATCATCAAATCAGTTACACTTTTTCAGTATTTGGAGTGTCTACTATTCCTACTGTCAGTGTGCCAGATTCTATTCAATATACACAGCTAGTAATTATTGCCTCATAGCTAGTTTATTAGCTTATAATTCATTCCAGCTTAGACTCCTATAGGATTAAACGTCAATCTTGTATTTACATGATTTTGGGTTTAAGAAGTTTTTTTCACTCGTATGAAAATTCGCTTTTTGCCACTTCTCTTGCTGTTCAAATTTAGTAAGTGTGATTGGCCATTCGCTCAGCTGTTTGTTCAACTGTTTTGTGACCCCTCAGACAAGTAGGCGTTAAACTTCAGACAAACGGATGCATGGGCCTAGGTAGGATAGAAAGACGAGTTATTTATCGTTATGGTAAGTTTCGCTACTTCAATATTTCATTATCTTATGGAGTTTTATTCCTCGGTGAAGAATGCACAGTCATTGAGAGGATTGGGGGGGGGGTATTTTTCTAGAAGTTCGGAATAATGACGCTTATTTTCTTTTTTGTAATGTTTGGAAGCAGGTAGGACTTGTGGTTGTTCATCTTTTCATTCAAATGCCTTGTTGCTGAGTTTCATAGTGCGGATGTAATTTAGCACGGTCTGGGGGCTCTATGCAATTAATGCGAGTTAGGGACATATGAGTATGCATCTTTAAGTGATGAGATGGTAAAAGGGTAGAGTTTCCAGAGTGCTGGAAACAAAGTATTGTGTAGTCGCTATTTTAAGAAACCTTTACTGCCCTTCCTATTTCTCAAGATGTGATCGATTATTAACATTACCTCATATGCATCTCTGACTGCAAGCCGAATCCATTTAACATAGATGAAAAAAAATATGCCTGTGAACAACATAATGGAAACAAGTTACATTGTGAAATTGGAGTAATCAATCGGAGATAATATTTAGAGCGAACATTAATAATCCACAACACGTGTGTCAGTCGTGCACTGGTGATCATGGGTTTGACTCCCATCAGCTTACGGCAAGTTAATAATGACTAACTGTATTGGTTTAGGCCGGCTAACATAGGGGTGGCAGAATTCTAGTCTCGTCAGAGAGGCTCCATGATATCGCTCTCTGCCCAAGATGGACATTTTATAATACATTCCTAAATGGGTTTGAGAATTAATTCACAATACTTTAGCATGGACAATTTGCTTTGCCTGTGATATTAACCGTTTGACTCATTGTTTGAGTTAGCCATCCATAAATTATTTTGTTATGTTTCTTGAAAATTACAGGATCTTCAAGACCCGATGGTAAATCAGCACACCCCCACTAATGCTATCGACACCTCTAACGCAGTCATGATTCGTCAGGTGCGTCAGGGTGACTTAAATGACAGTAAAGCGGTTACCGACGATGATCCAGATTTTGACGTAATGGCTGAATTGGAAGATCTCCGCTATGATGACTTCTTTGATGAACTTCGATCAGATCGAGCTGTTCGCGTCTCAAAGACGGAAGCTAAGGCATGGAGGCTAATTATTTAGAGGCCTTATTAAGTCCATTTCTTTCGTTTACATCTTCATTATAGGAATTGAGGGAAGATACCGCCGAATTTTTGCACAACGATCGTGAAATCTTTAATTTTGAAACACCGAGTAATACAGTACCTTATACTGGGAATGAAGTGCGTCCTAAAAAGGATAAGTGCATTGTATCTTATCCACCACTTCCTCCGCCTCCGTTGTAAGTTGACTTTGCTATTGCATATTTGTCACTTAAATCATTTGGGTGGTCGTTGAAGAACCAGTGCCCGAAGTTGGAATGTTTAAGTAAGTTGACACTCATCTAAGTTATTTTGAACATAGTTTATTGAGAATACCACAACTAAACGACGAGGAATCGGTTTCTGGGTTGGCCTATCTAATTAGTTGCAGCCTTACAAGGTGAGGTCTCATTCGTAATATATACACTAAGAGGGTTGTATGGACATTAAATATAAATATGAGTGTCCTGTAGTTTATATTACTTCAGGTCAGTCATATCGAATGATTGCCACTCCCTTCGTCGTAAATCGACTTATTCTTAATTCCATGTTTGCAACAAGAAAGATACAATTTTAGAGACGTCTATTGAATTTATTTATTTATATCTAATGACGGGCGCTTTGATAGTTATCATTGGCCCTTTAGTTGACTTCAGGCTTCAGAGAGGGGAAGGAACATCAAAGTGAGAAAAGTGGAGAGGGGAAACAGAAGAGGGATTTACAGATGTAAAAGAGACAGACAGACACAGAGGCAGAGAAAAGGTAAGATGAGTACTGTGGAGTGGTTGAATATGACTTACAGTGGGGTCATGGTAGTTTGAAGTGAGAAGTCAACTGGCGGTTAATAGACTTTTTTGTCTTATGAGTATTCTCTGCCCAGGGTGCACCACGTGGAGGTAAGTCTATCGCACACCCCATAT